CCTTCCTGTGGTGGTAACACATAGAAAAAGTACTTTTAATCAATGAATGATTAGGATCGGAGTACACTACTCATGTGTGGTAGAGGCAGATTTGATCGGGGTTTTCAAATCAGAATTGAAAAACTGTCTGAATACAAAAATTCCAAGACTACAGGGAAAGTAGACTAGTTTGACATCACTTGCACATATTTTGAACAGACACGAAATGCTCATGGAATAACTACTGTGCAAAAAATAAGTCAATGGTTTACACTGATTGTAGAATTTGTCGTACACTGAGTTTCCATTCAGTTCTGCAATGCACTACTGTTGTGTTGATACTAACTTTTAAAATTTCTACCAATGTGCGTTTAGTTTCATACCTAACGCAGCATGGACAGTGTTTATTTAAAAAAAAACCAAGACATTTCGCAACCATTGCGTGAAAGGAACAAGCACAATTCAGGAAAGATTTGGCAATATTAAACTTAAAAAAAAACTCACAAGTCATATTAACCAAAAGGTAAAAATGTATTCTCTGAAAATTATCTGTTGTTTAAAAAAAAAAGCAAGTGCCAGAGAGGATGCGTCATATGGACATTATTGTACATGGCCAATTTGTCATAGCTATGCTAATTTGAAATAGCTTATACTTTTAAACCGGAGTAAAAACAGTAATTGATGGAAGAGAGAAAAAAAACTGCATAGTTGAAGTGTTTTGCAGATATAGTTTTGCTTTACATCCAACATTAACAAAATGCATTCAGCTGTTGACCTTTGTTGCTTTTTGGCAGTGATTAGAGTCACAAATGGCAAAACCAAATCAACATTAACATTTTGCAAAAAAAACAAATCCACAGAAGTAACTTTCAGTCTGCAATTTTTAAAATTGATTTCAAACTTATCTATCAAAATGCCAAAAAGGAGGCAAAGGAAGACAGGCATATATAGAGAGCTGTCAACTTCTTTTAAAACTTAGGTTAGAAATACAAAATGAATAAATACATAATGAATAAATATGCTTGGTACCAAGCATGAGTGCTAAACTCAGTGACAGAACAGGAATAGAAACTGCTTACAGGGAGAAGGGACAAAGTTACATAGTGTGGCATAGCAATGGACAGAACAATTACCAAAAGGCATACCTGGTTCCTCCTGCTAACAACCTTAAATACAGTGTGACAACCGTTACAGTTAATTATAACCATCACAGACACAAACCCAAGAAGAAAGTAGATGAAAATACTTCAAATGCTTCTACAGCAGTTGTGTACTTTAAAGTTATGAACATGGTTTCACATGCAAATTTTACAAAGTAAAATAATTACTCCTCAATGGTGTTCTTTACTCTTCCACTTCAACTAGAATTAAATCCTCTACTGATATGAGCCTCATTGATCATAACTGACTGATGAAAGAGCAAACAGCTTGCCTTAGCATAAGCAAACTATGTCAGCAAAACTACACGTTCACAAATTAAATTCGATGAAAATATGTTTGAATACACTTAATGATTGAATCCAACTTACTTAAATTGTCATGCATAATACAAAATTTCTAAAGATGTCACAAGTCACTGTAAATTAGGGGTGATAAGAACTTGAAAGCTATCAAAATCCATGCAACAGAATCTTTAAAAATTCCATTGAGTCAAGTTAAATTTTTTTGCTTTAAGGAACTTTCATGTCTTTTGGATAGCACAGCCATCTAATTCATATATCACTTTACATGGACATTCTCCACTTACAGCATACCAATACATCTCAGCATGCATCCTTGGTGATATAGCTTCCAAATAAGTTAACCATCATCACGCAATGACAATTACAAGACTATTTTCTCCCCACCCGATGTCTTGAGAAAATTTTTTTAAATAAAGCACCACATATATTCTAGAGAAAAATTAGGGTAATTTGTTACTTTCCATTATGGCATGCCCATTGGAAAAATTAAGGTGGCATAGGTGGGCAGTGAATTTTCTTACCAATGACATGCATGATATTGATAGCTTTGATGTTTCATTGACAAGTTGGGTCAGTAAACAAAAATGTAAAAGCTAAAATTTTATATCAACTGAAACATTTAAACAAATTCTGTGAAGTGACTGAGCTCATGTCTTCACTTATTGAAGTAATTGAATAATTTTGCACCTTGGTCAATATTTTATCATAGATTCCCTACAGTGTGGAAACAGGCCATTCAGCCCAACAAGTCCACACCACCCCTCCAAAGAGCATCCTACCCAGTCCCATCACCTTACCTTTTCCCTGTAACCCTACATTTCCCATGGCTAGCCCGCCTAACTTACCCATCCCAGACACTAAGGGTAATTTAGCACGGCCAATCCACCTAACCTGTACATTTTTGGGCTGTGGGAGGAAACCAGGGCACCCGGAGGAAACCCACGCAGACACGGGGAGAACATGCAAACTCCAAACACACAGTGGCCCGAGGGTGGAATCGAACCCAGATCACTGGTGCTGTGAGGCAGCAGTGCTGACCACTGAGACAAACTGCAAGTTGAGGAAAAAAAACAACTTCCAGAATAATTCAATTCTATAATTATAGATATTGAATGATTAATCATGCTTAAGAGATTTTGAAAACACTTTCATACTATCCATCGGTGTGGACATGTGAAAATGTACATGATAAAACTTAATAGTTGAACCACACTTACATTTGTCATTTCAACTTAAGGCGATTTGTTGCAGAAGTGCTTTTAACAGTATAATTAGTTATACTTGCCCTTGCACATGCAGAAATTTAATTTTGTGCAAAGTTGCTGAAATTGAGGGGTGACAAAGTCACAGCAAAGAAAACCTCCAGTAAGGGTATTTAGGTCCTAACGGAACATGACAAGCTACTGTATCAACAACCAAGTTGAAGGATTGCAACATAACAGTGCATGGACCAAGGAAGTGCATAGTTTTGACTCGGTGTATCAGGTATTGAAAGAGGGAAAAAAAAAGGAAAGATTGATTGGATTGATAAAGATTAAAGCAAAATTAGCAATAATTTGAAGTTTTATATTTTTGAACTATCCAACAATTACAATGATTTACTTTGAATGAATAAAATTCCAAGAGTTCTAACAGTTAATTGTCTATACTTGTATAGTGATTAGCAATAACTAACTTGTCTTTAAAAAGGATTGTTTGACTGAAGTGGAAGAGATTTAAGTGGTTGGTGATGAGTTTAACTCCAATTTACTGAACAAACTATGCAACTTGAAGCTATTTAATGCATTGTGGTAGTGTGGCAGACAAGGAGATGCCACCTTTTGTCAGACAAATGGTCGAGGAGAGCAGCTTGTACAGCAGGGTTTGGACATTTCAAAACCACATGTTTGCCCTGTGCCTGAAGCTGCCGCACTATTTGTAATATAGACAATGGCAGGAGCATCATTATTTTGGCAGCAAATAAACACCAATTATTTCTTCTAATCTGCTTTGGAATCAATTTGGAGTCTTCAATATTGAGATAAGGTAAAGGCCATGCCTCACTACTATAAGACTTTGCCTTTCAATTTTACACTGTAGTTTCTAACTTTGTTTAAATGGTACAGCTTTTCAAGTAGATCTCAAATGTCCTTTAGACTCCTGAAATTTGAACAATTTGTGAACGAAGGAAAATAAGTAATTTGACAAAGTAAAGTAATATCCTCGAACTAGAATTTGTTGCATACTTCTCCAAACTTTGGCTATGAGAGTTCATACTAAATCAGCTTCAAATGACAATTCATGACAAACTGTCAACCTTCCAATGTATACATTTTACCATAATGTATAGATGAAAATTTGGGGTCAACACAATTCACTTGAAAGTACCTGATGCAGAGACTACATTTGGTCGGGGTATTTTTTTTAAAATGAAGATCAGACTGGGAACATTTTATGATGCTTTAATATATGTAATACCGAATACAGGAAATAGTTTTTGTTCCAATTGTGGTTCAATTCTTACCAAAATTGCTCAATACAAATTTACATTAAACTACACTACTTTTGAAAAAGGGATTCAGTCATGGTTTAACCTTGGGATTGTCCTTTCCAAAGGATGATGAACCTTCAACAGTTCAAAATACATCTGTAGCACAAAAAGTCAATATTATTTGTTTTAAATTGAAACAATTTGATAAAATTTTTAGTCCAACATCCTCAATATAAACTCAAATAAAAAGTCGATCCTGAAGTCCCTGAACATTTTGCCATAATCCACATGAAAAATCTCAACTATTTCAAGGCCAAATGATAAAATACTTCAGTTGGGCCTTGGGAACCAATACAGTTTAACAATATGGTTTAATATACTACATCAACTATCGTCAATCTCAGCCTGTCATCTAATTTGATAATTATTCTCCAGTGAACCGGCGCAGTGAAAATTTCACGTTACCTAATGGAATCAACCTAAGTTAAAACGATACACTTATAAAGTCTGCAATCGTCCAATAAACTTGCTCCTGCAGCATAACGCTGTGCGTATTAATTTTGGGGGAAATGTTACAGTTAGCATCCACAAACTAAAAATACATTAAAGTAATACTGGAAAAAGGAATGTAACGATCGACAGCTTACTGAAGTCAAAATCGGTACTGCATTTCAGGCACGAATTAACCCAAAAGAAACTACCTGCACAAATATTAACCGTATTTATCATCAGGTCCATTGTACAAACTTATGGAAGGTGGTGCTATCAGATGAATGATAGTGCAGTTATATCTGCACTATCCATTTATGTGCAAGATAGCGCGGATCTGCATGGAATCTGCGAAATTCGAGATATTAGAGAAAATATTGGACCAAGTTTGCTTGATACATCTCAATTTTGATTTTAAAAAAACAGGGCTCTTTCGTCCCTGACCCCAGAAATAAAAAGCACGTCACTTTGTAAACCGCAATGCCCCAGACTGGGACCGGGCTGTTTGGAGAGCTGTGAAAGTAATAAAAAAAAAAGGTCAGTGAGAAGCTAACACTTTCTCCGACTCGCCCCTTTATGTCTCTCTCTCTGACTCTTACCTTGGTTGGAAAGGTGAGTGGCGGTGCTGAGCAGCCGCTCAGAGAGAAGCAGCAAGATGCTGAATTTCACGCTCAAAATCATCCTTCGGCGCTAACAACCGCCTTAGCTTGGGTGCAAGAGAAGCTGTTCCCTCCGGTTCAGACAGGGAGACAGCAGGTAGGCCTGCCCACTGTCAAAATAAAAAAAAAAAACAAAAAAAAGACTGCAATAATGGAATTGCAGCCGGGAGGGAGGGGGAATTTATACGGCCGGCCTCCTCCGGTCGTCCGCTCACGTCCAGACTGAGGGAGCCATGGGGTGGATGGTGTGGGAACTGGAGAATCAGTCAGCATACGGTCACAGCAGCAGCGACATTCCCAGTCCTCACTCTCTCTCTCACACACACAGACACACAGAGCCACTCACTAGCTGCCCGTGTCCCCCTCTCTTCCGAGAGGGACGATTAAATCGCAGGGAAATGTTTCTCCCCACTCAGAAACCGCCCCTCTATCCTTACTCTCGCTCTCTCCCCCCCCCGCGACAGCTGCAATCCAAAAATAAGACCAGCACGATTAGGAGCCACCCCCTTTAATCTCTCGCTGCTCAGGGAAAAAAAATATATTAATAATATTTTGTTGACACGAATGGTTGCTGAGGAGAGTCGTTTTGTTTGGTTGGGGGGGAGGAGGGATGGAGGTGAAGGAAAGCTCTGGGTTGATCGAGGCCACCTTCAGCAGGTCAATCCGCCTCGGATTGAAAGCTTCACAAACTGGGAACTTTCAGCACAGCCTGAGCCAGGCTTTAACCACCGCGTGCAACTTGCTGGAGGGTTTTCTTCAACAACATAGTATCATACTGCAAGGTTAGAACTGTCAGTCGCCACCATAGCGAGTGAATTTTTTTATATTAAAAAAAAACAAGTTGCAGAATGTATATTAACGGTTCACTCAGTGAATTATCAAAGTAGCTGGGAGCTGGTGTCCCGAGCGAAAGCTGCTGCTAGCGCCTGCCAGGTCAAAAGAGCCGCTACTGAGCACTAGGGGGTGTCAATAACACACATCCCACAACTCAAGACTGCTCCTGATGCCCAGCTTTAAATGACAGGGATGTTATTCTTCTCGACTTTTTTTTTGGCGCAGCTTTTTCTTCCCCCCGCTATATAAAGTATTACAATAAGGGCGTTTTGTACTCTAAGCTGATGAGCTTCAATAATTGTGAATGGCTTTATCCACTGAAATAACTGCAGGTTCTGGAAAACCCAAATCGGTGTAAGCAAATAAACAGAAAGCAGGTAAAGTTATTCAGAGGCCACCGTGGCACTCTGTTGAAGATCAGCTGGCGGCGGCTGCTGTACAAACACTGGAACTCGATACCATTACCAATTTTCCAAGCATCAAGTAAAAATGCACGTCCGTACGGGTCGAGCTGAATCTGGGGTCATTTAAACCACAATTGAAAATCGCTTGTAGTTCTCTCCACTGTCAAATGTTTCTCCCAAACAATGGGATGCGATAAACCGGGAGTTTACTAATTAAGGAACAATGTGATTGTCAGTTGGAGTAAATGCACAACACCAGGCCACCGGAGAGCCACAATTACTCCATCTCAATGATCATCTTACTCTTTAATTACAAACAAATGAGAATTGCGGAAGGGAATGGAATCTGCGAGTTTCATTGTGGTTTTAAACAGCACGAACTAGCTAAGAGTAAAACAACGTGGATTGGAAAAAATGTACAAATTTCGCCATTATTCCTGTCCGTTACTTAATTCATGGTGACCTACAGCCCCATCATCCGTGGTTAGAGTTCACCTGCAGGATTGTTATCAGCACAATAGCACGCTCTATAGTTTTTTTTAAACTTTAAGTTCAACGTGTTTTAAGTGGCGTGCGTACTTTATAACACTCACACTCAGGCGTTTTCAACCGAATTTTCTTTTCAATATACAGAGCACTTACATTGACAGAATCCCATATTGTGGTACAGACAGTTGTGACATGGGACAAGATATGAACTGCACGTCATTACTGCATTATTTTAACTTATGAAAACGTTTTTTTTCTCGGTGTTTTTTATTTGGACACTTACAATTCGTGACCTTTATAGGTATTTTCTAATTAACCTGTTCAGATGTTTTCTCGCCAATCTCTGGAGTAAGTGGTACATGAGCACATGCCACCTAGCTCGGAGGTAGGGACATTACCACAGTTCTACAAGAGCAACCCCCCCAAACCATTTGGACTTGTATACTTAAATTACGATATGAGGTACTCAGGATAAGTGTCCGTACAGACTAATTGAGGAGTGAATACAATGCTGTCCTGTCGAGCATTCCCACTGATATTTCCAGTCCGTGAATATCGCAATGCAAGCCCTTCGTTTTATAAAAATGTGAGGTACAGGGGAAAAAAAGGCTAAGGTTGCGGTAACTTTCCGATTTGAAGATTTGCCAGAAATCAGTGTGCAATATATTTACACTCAAACTGCCGAGCTTTTTGAAAGCGTTATGCAGTTAAGGTGCAAGGAGAGTGTCACAGAGTAAGTCTCAGTGAGACTTCAGAGGCAGTTGCTGTTAGGGAACTGTAACTTCCAAAGACCTAACACAGCACCAAACGGCGATCGCCAAATTATTCCACTTCCTGACTAAATTTAACAAACAATATCCCGTAACTAAGTGAATTCGAAACAAGATCCTTTTAAACAGAAAACAGTCCTTTGGTTGAAGAAAGTCAGAGTTCTATTGGAATTCCGGTTGAGTTTTGCGGACGATGTTCGGAAAGTGATTGCTTCCCCGCCAATAGCGTTGTACAAGTTCATCCATAACACCGAGTGTATCCTCTCAAAACAAGCAAAGCATTTGTTACATATATTCCTTTTAAGCGCCCTTTCTGATCATGCTGTATTTGGCTTTTTTTCAGGCTTGATAACGCGACTAACGGGGAGTATAATCAGAACGAGAAAACTTTTTTGATGCTTAGCATTTGCCTAAATTGTATATTGCACTACATTAAACCTTTGTTCGAAGGTCAATATTTGGTCTTGAAGTAATCACATTTCTGCATTAAATTTTTAATATTTACCAATATGCTGGTATTGCATTTTGAAGATTATAAACCGAAATTCGCAGAACCATAAAGTCGGGTAAATATAGTCTCAAAATATCCACCAGATCAATCAGCGGTGAGGTATAATAGGTTAGGTAATGCGTTAAAGACCCTCCCTCAATCCATTTTTCTTATGTTTGAGTGAATGGTTGCCTGCTGTTTGGGTCTATGGCTGGTGAAATTTGTGATAAACTCCCACTAGGGGGCTTCTTGGAACGAGATTTAATTACCAGAGGAAAAGTGGACTCTATGTCTGTGAACAGCCTAACTTCTTGCTTTCCTCCCTGTTCCTGCACATCAACTACTCGAGAAAATTAGAGTAGGGCATGAATTAAAGACAACGTTAGTTGAACTTTATAAAATAAAGTGCATATTTTATTTGTGATATTCATGATGTTGAGAACAATATCAATGGAATAACTAAACACATTGTTCCGAGCACCGGGCAGGCTCGTTTGGTGCAGTGCTAGATTCCCTACCTCTGAGCTGGAAGACCTGGGTTTAAGTCTCACCTAACCCACTGTTGTCTACTAACATTTCTGAGCAAATTGATTTTAAAACTGTGGAAAGAACAGTAACAGCTGCCCTAATAAAGGGGCGGCTGGGTGTTGTATTATTATTAGTAGTAGTGCCCCTACTTCTGAGCCGGGAGGCATGGGTTCGAGTCCCAGTCACTCCAGAAGAGTGTAACAAAATCTTTGGACAGTTTGATTAGGAAATACCTAAGCACATGATCAAACAATAAGTTATGGATGAGGCTGAAATGGTTAAAGTTAGCTAGCTAAGCTCAGTTGAACATAAAACATACTGACAAACTCCTGATTTGAAATCTGACCTGCTCCAGAAGTGCACCATTACATCTCTGAACAGTTTGATTTGGAAAATATCAACTGACAAACTTCTGGATTTGTAATAAAACAAGGACAATTGTATCAATCATAAATGTAAAAACTAGGAAGCCAATGTTATTTTTAAACAAATCATAATTGATTAATTTGAAGGAAAACCAAACTGGAAAATATCAGTTTACCAATTAATCTAAATTCATGAAAAAATGTATAATTCTTGTATTTTTTTTCAGTCTCAACTCTATTCCAGCATTTTTTAATGAGTATGCTGTTAATGGTTAACACAAATGCTTCGTATAAATAACAATGGAAAGTTAGCTATTGTAATTTGCATTTCCATTTTCACATTTCACTATACATAGTGTACAATGTTGATGAGTGTAATTGATGCCAAAATGGGTCAATCTTGTAGCTATTTGGGAGTTTATTTTGCTAGGAGATATTGACCTTTGCTGATTTGGCTGCCTGCCACAAATACTGGATTAGTTTCTATTCTAGTGGCATCCAGTTTATCACTCCCTCATAATTCCCTTCCTGCCTTTCTGCTGTCATGGTGCATGTTTATCATTTAGTATAGATGAACTACCATTTCTTCCAACAATCTGCTACTTAAATATAAGATTTCCATTGCTCTGTTTAAGTACCTGCTTGTTTTCACTCTTGTCTTCCTATGGGATATTCAGAACTATCATTTTCCCAATCTCTGTTCTTTCATGGACCACCTTTCCCCATTCTCAATGTCCCTGCCTTTAGCTGTTTGATTTTCATGCCTAGAAATGTTTTGTGATCTGGCTGTCCTGCTCCTCCAAGGTCCTTTTCAACCTAATATTTTGCTCAAACTTTTGCTCATTCCTAATCTCGTCATTAAATTGGTGCTTGCAGTTTTCCTTGTGCTACTGTGAGATGTTTTGTTTTCCTGGGTTGAATACACTACATAACTTCAAGTTGGTGTTATTAATGGTCTCAATAAGCCTTTAATTGGCAGGTGGGTTGGCTAAACATTTTCTTATGTATTTCGCAGGGATATATGACATTACAACACCCAGTCACTCCACTGCTAATGCATTATGATTACAGTATTTATAATGTAATGTGTTGGGCGGCTTTCAGCAGTGAGCCAAGAATTACAGCAGAAGGTGTTTTCGGATTCAGTATCAATGTTA